CGGGCCGCTGGCGCCCTGGGCGAGGCCGGGGACCTGCAGGCTGGAGGGGCCGGGGAGGCGGCGGCCGCTGGAAGCCTGGCTAGCCGCTGCTTCCCCGGCTTCGAGCCCCGAGGAACTCCTGGATTGTGCGGGGATCCAACACTACCTCCCCACACACCTACACACCCCCCAACTGGCAAACCTTGGCCTCAGACAAACCCGGGTTCCAGTCGAGGCTCAGCCACTGCCAGCTTTGTAGGAGTGACCTTGGGTACAGCCTGCACCCCTTCTGGTCTCTACCTCTTCATCTGTAAAGGGGGAACAGTAACACCTATATCACACTGGCTGGTTGGGAGCCCCAGAGGAGGAAACTGGGCCAAGCTCCTCGCAGAACCCAATCTAATTCCAAGGCCGGCGTTCTCAGGTGACCAGACAAGAAGCACTGTCGTTGAAAACCGAACTCACAGCCGGTCCGGAGCCCCCAAGTGCAATCCTTTCCTCTCTGCGTCCTTACACCCCCACCTGGGTGTGGAGCAACTCAACATTGTTCGCAGGGTGCAGTGCCCTGGCCATGAACAGCACCCTGCCCTCTCCTCTCCTGTTCCAGACCCCCCCACCTGCTGTGGCAGGGCCCCATAGCAGATGGGACTTCAGGCCCAAGTGGGGTGGGAGGTTATTCTGGCTTTTCTAGGATATTGGACAACCCAGGACCACCAAGCAAAGTGTGGCCTCCAGTTCAGGTTCCCTACCCCCCCTACCCACTCCCCCAACCTCCATCAGGAGCTTTTCAGGCCAGCCTTGCTGCTGTGGAGCTCAGTCGGGACAGCAGCCCGGCCAGCAAACCTGGAGGCTGAGCGCCCCCTCCCTCCCAATCAGAGGAACAGACTGAAGATGCTCTGCCATTCCCCAGAGGCAAAAATGGGGCTAGCTGGGTCTGGGTTTACCAACCAGAAGGCAGAAAGAAGCAAGGTCTCAGGAGGGTCCCCCGAATGGCAGCCCTGCCTGCTTAGGGCTTTCTCCAGAGCCCCGTTCTCGGCCGCTCACAAACACACAGCCTCTGTGCCCTCAGGTTCCCACCCCTTGCCCTGTCCCAGAGCCTGTGATCCTTGGGCAGGAAGGAGGTGCTTCGGCCTCCTGGACAGCCTGGGCCAGCACTTTCTGTGCCAGGCTGGACCTCCCTCTATGGTTTTTCTTGTATCTTCCACCAGGCACACATGTTCTGATCCCCTGCCTTTTTCCATCACCACAGCCATCAGCTACTTGGCCAGTTCTCAGTCTTAAAGACTCAGCCCAAAATCTCCCCCTTGATGAAACCTGCAATGGCCTTCTTGTGCCCTGAATAGTTATTTGTCAGATTAGGCCCCTCGGTCTGGGTCTGGCTTTTAGCTCCTCACCTGCCTGTCTCCTGCATGAGGCCTCAGGCTCCTGGAGGACAGCAACCACGCCTCATGGGCCCTGTCTGATGCCAGACCTGGCAGAAGTTCCAGGGAGCTACTGAACGAATGCTCCATTGGTTGATTGATTAAGTGAATGAACGAGAGAAGTCATTAACCGGGTGAAGGATTTAGCACCCCTCATTCCCCAGCACAGGCCCTCACAGCAGTGTTCCTTGCCTGCCTAGTTACAACACTTCCTCCTGCGAGCCCCACCTGGGCTAGACAGGGCTGGGGGAAGGGAGAAGGGCTCCTCGCCTTTGGAGACATCCTGTTCATTGACTGGTACTGGGGAGAGGCAAAAGCCACCGCATCCTTGCTGGTAGGAGGAGGGAAGAGGAGGTTGAGAGGAGGGTCTACATTTTGCGCCCCTGGTGGAGGAGCTTTCAGCCCCGCTGCCAGTCGTCTGCTGGAGGGAACTGGGTCAAGCGGTAGTCAGAAACCATCTGCTCGAGAAGCTGAGATTATCCCGCCCTCTGCTGATCCCCCAGCCTGTGGGAGCTAAGGGTGTAAATTTTCTTCCAGATCACCATGTGCTTTGGTGGGGGAGCCCACGTCCCCTCCTGAGGCGCAGTGACCCGTTCTGTTGCTTCAAAGCTTCATTTAGCGCTGGGCTCAGTTCTCCTCGTGCTGGTGACCTCAGCCTTCTATCCCAGCCGGGGATGTGACTGCACCTGTCCATTTTAAATACAGTAATGCACATCAGTGCTGTACCCAATGCCCTGAGCATGGGTTATAGAGCCAGGCCTCCCCCACATGCAGTGCTAGCTCCCTGCCATCAAGGAGCGCGGGCCTGATGGGGAAGACAGGAAGGAACACGACATTGTGGATATGGGCACACTGCCCATGGAGAAGTCTTCCTTGGGGAGTTCGGAGCACTTGCTCTAACAAGACTTTTGTGTAATCCATAGATAAGTGTCAATCCTGAAGAGTGTGAAAATGCCCACAGTGACAAAGCAAACCACAGAAATGAGCCTCATTTGCTAAAAGAATTGAGTTCCTGGCCACATGGCCTCCGCAGAGTGGGGCGAAGAGAAGCCCTTCTCACGTCAGTGGGCACTCATGCCTGTTAGGCAGAGTTGGTTGGCCTCAGGGCCCTGGCCTTCTGTTTTGCAGCACTGGCCCAGAAGCCGCTTTTGCCAATCACCACCACCCATCACGCCCTCCAGAACAGCTCTCTGCATGGAAGGAGCTTGTACCAGACCAGATGAGGTGTCCTACCCACCTGGCAGCCAAGGCACAGGAGAGGGACAAGCCTGGAGCCAGGTGTGAAGTAGGATCCGACCGAGGGGGCCCCGAGGGGCAAGGGGCCAAGCTAACCTTGTAAAATTCCAGACACCAAAGCACAGCCCCCTGAGAATGCCCCAATGCATGTCTTTGAGGTCACAGAAGCAAGTCCTTGATGAGAGAGTGGGCATGGGAGGGTTATTTTGATAAGATAGCATATTTCTCACCAGGGCAGCTGGATGGTGCCTATCTTTCGAGGGCGCCAACAGCCCCCACACCCTGAAGTCCCCCTGAAGCCTCAGCAAGGATGCCTGTCATCTCTGAAATTACTGAAC